CGGGGGGGGGGGGGTGACGTTTAGTTCTAAGAAAACTGGAGGTCCCTGTTCTGAGAAGAACAGGGCCTTAGGGGCAGATGGGGAGGACTGACGATCTATTCCCAGAAGCTGGGGTCCCTATGTTCTGAAAAGAACAAGGGCTCGCTCTGAGAAGAGCAAGAGACGATCTACTCTAAGAACAGTGTATACACAGTAACAGTATAACAAAAACAATAACAGAAAAATTAAAAATAATAAAACAAAACAAGCGAAGCGCGCTCGAGCCTCCCTGCCGGAGCAAGGGGGCAAGAACGATGCAAAAACAAAGTGACTCACCAACGGCGTCTGCTCGGCCGGTGTTAGCCGGGGAGAGCGGGGCGCGCGGGCAAGCGGTTGCGCTACCGAAGGGTCGGAGGCGCGAAAGAACTGTGTGCACGACCGCTCGGGGGCGGCGCGCAAACGGAACGTAGCGTGGCTCTGCCAAGTTTAGGTTATAATCGAATCTTACTACATCAATTTTATCAGTTTTTTTAGTTGAGCTTATATATGACCTGGAGGCTGGAGTTCGAAAAATATTTTATTATCATTTGTATATTACGCCCTCCAGACTGAATTTCGGTCACGGCGGCCAAACTCAACGGAAACTAGCCGTCTCCACACGACAGGATTACAGCGAGCGAGTATGTACGCATACACTCGTGTGCTAATTTCAAAAATCATAAGGTTATTTAAGATATTAAAAGATAACAAACGTTTGTAGGCGTTCTTGGCAGGATTTAAATCAAACCTCTAAAGAGACGAAAATTAAACTTATTGTTAACCGGCTGGCTAGCTTCCGGTAGTTGGTGCGATGTATTTAATATAAAATTTGACACAAACTTGACCATATGCAACTTAGCATATGGTCTATATAGGATCTCAAGCAGATGATATCACCCTGCCATCTTCTCTATTGAAAATATTTTTTAATATTAGTAATCGATGTTCTTTTGATAGGATTTGTGGTCACATATTAAATCCGATCATGGTGAGGACGATCCTGAACATGTTCACATACTGCAAATTTCCCGTGGCGTCGGTGTATATATGTTCTTTTATACGGGTTTTTATGGATATTTCTGTTTGCCTTAAATGAGAGAGACTAGATTTACGGTCAAACTTGTACACTAGAGCTTTCTCATACGGATAGCAGTGAAAGTTCACGTCTCACATTTACATCACTGGCAACACGGACTGATTGTACAATAATCTTTTTTTAAGTTTTGAGGTATACTTGGTGAAAAGATGTGTCGTAATCACCCGAAAGTTGCAACTCTGTTGGGTCAGTCGATTAACATTTCGGTGGAAGTTGGACTTACCTAGCCGGACAATTCGAATCCCAACAATTGTGCCGGTGTGTGGTGTACCGGTAGTTGTTGGGAGCAACCAATGCTCCCAACAACTACCGGCACAGGTATAATTCCACGTGAATTTTGTCTTATCTATGTTAATTTTAACACTGCGTTGGACGTGTGGCCTGGAGTTTTTTACATCTATCCTCGATTAACACTCAAAATACAGATGTCTTATTAAAATATATTCTGTGAGGTATAAAATCCGATGCGAATATAAATCTTTACCCACATTGCATTATTCTACTTACATATATTTTGATTCCCTTAATATTTGAATATTGCAGGTATATAAAGCTAGCGACATTGACATTACGGTGTCAAGGATCCGCTTTGCACGCGATTCGTAAATTTTCGAGGTCAAAACAAAGTTTATCGTTTATGGCGGATATGATGAGGTTAGAGATTAAGCATTAAATTGCTAAAATAAATATTTACAAAGTTCAAAAAGAAAAGTTTCAAAGATTGTAAGAATATTATTTGTGTGATATCTTTAGCCTAGGTACTTTAAATTTGCTTTTACTTTAAATTTAAAATATAATAAAAAATTTAGCTTGCTAAAATTTAGTCCCATCGTTCAACACACTTTTTAGACGGCTATGGTCCTACATATGAGTCTCATTGGCAGACTACATTTAGCGAAATCTAGTAATTTGTGTTTTGTTTTTTATAAAATTGGTTTTATAGATTTTGTCGCCTTTGAATTTATCTTATTTTGACTTCCCCACAAGATTGCTTTATAGCACCCATGGTCACGGGGAGACCGAAGATTTAAACGCCCTGATGTCATAATTACTCCGAGCTGCCTTCAGATTTAAAATAATTATTATTACCTTAATCTATGCAGAACAAGTTTAAAGGAAATGTGAAGACTTGCAGTGAAATAATCCTTGCTAGGAAATTATGATATTTCGCAAGGACTTGTGATCTATTACTTCTGTTCTAATGGGGGGAAAAATCCATACCATTTTACAGCCTGCAGACTTTCCGGAGTGTAGTATATTCAAATTCACGTCAGCTGTTATGTTACTTTATGCGGGGTTTCATTTATCTTTTTTTCAGATGAACTCAAACCGAACCAAGGTGCGTATAAAATTCTCATAAAAATTAATTTTAGCGTTACATAGGATGCAATGCATCATGAGCATAATAGGCGGCTTCACTTGTGCCCTCATAGTGCACAAATGTGAAGTAATAACCCTACGTAGTTATTTATTGGCGTCTACGTGAACGTGATAATAGATAATGACGGGCTTACCCCTTTTATTCTTTGCCACGTAGTAATTGCAGGATCCAGCGGTGTAGAGTGCCATTTATTTTGAAACCATGTGTTAGAAATAGGGTTTCTACGATAGAAGCAAAAAGTTCAATGCAATTTATATGAAAAGTTTTCGAATTTCATGACCTTCCTTCTATTTTATTACATAGAAGTTTACAATTCATCGTACTGAAAGCGTTACGTTAAGGTAAGCGTTGCGTTACGTTACATACGTTACGGGAAGGTTACAGAGCCTTACTTGTTAGGATTATACAGGCTTATTAATAAAACTATTCTTAAATATAATATATATATATATATATATATATATATATATATATATATATATATATTATATATATATATATATCGACTTCTCTCTGAAAAACTGTCATAAGACGCTGAAAGCTAGTTTTGAGAAAAAAACTATTTAAATTATTTTTCGATAAATTAATGCTATTGTGACTTTTAGGTTACAAATTTTTACCCGTCTACTGTTTTAACTAACAAAGAATTTATCAAGCTATTTGCAAAATATAAGAGTATATTAAAAAATTAAATGAAATTTGTTTAAAAAGTAAATAAATTAAAAATTACCCAACTTATGACACTTTTTTACATTATTATGGTAGCAAAATAAAAAAATATCGTAACAAAAAAAACATATTTTTATTTATGGTTCTTCTTAATATTAAATCTAATCTTTGGAGCTACTTTAGGAACTTTCACAATTACCATGATCAGTCTAAAGGCAAAGTTAAAAAGCACACTAAAAATTGTTAATACTTAAAACTTAAAGATTACAAATTTGTGTAAAATTCGCTGTAGAAATTAGGTATGTGATTACTCTGTACCAGACTTAAGAGGTCTCTCTTTTTATTTTCTTTAATTTTCGGTTTCGTCCTATAAGCTTTTTTTAGTGATATTATTTGAACGGGCAATTGCTTTCTTGTGATTTCTGCTTCTTTAAAATCAATTTCTTTAAAAGAATGTTTATAGTACACTTTCTTAAATTCGCCCTGAATCACTTTTAAAACCTTTATTTCAGAGGTTTTAAAATTTTTTAGAATTGAAACCAATGGTTTCCGATAGGCTTTTCATAGAATAAAATTCTCTGAAGCTCATCTCGTTTACTCTATACGGGTTGCCCTTCTTTTTGGCGTTCCTTATAATTTGAGCATATTGGCTCGGAACATAGATGGGACCGGAGCGGAGGTTCTTGACAGCTTTTTCTATCACGGAATGTACGCTATCTCCTTCATTTTGTGTATGGCCAGTAATAAGGTATTTATGTGTTATAGATTTAATTTTAGAATGTTTCATCAACGCGTATATATACATGGAAAAAAGAAATTTGTTTTTCTGCTGGCCGCAGCAATTGTCGGAATAAAATACAAATTCAATACCTGAACCAGCATAATTTTCCATTACTTTGTCAATAAAGTTCAGGACACAAGACCCAATCTCATCTGCCCCTCGATTGGCCTCCCCTTCGTGCCAGAGGTAGCATTCGGTGTGATCAGGGGAACCAACTTCACTTATAGTGAAATTGAAGTTATTTAATTTCGATTTATAATAGAATACTGATACATTTCCTCTTGGAGTTTAAAGAACAGCCTGAAGATCATAGACAGCTACGATTTTTTGATTTTTCTATTCTAGATAAATCCTTCTTTTGCAGATCCAGTTGCATTTTCGTAGCTTACACACAACTCACAACGGTCCTTTTTAGAAGTAAAAAAACATATATTGAACTCATAATTAAAAAAATTTGCATACATTTCGTAGTGTGCTGCACTAACTCCTTGCTCCAAACATTGTGCTTTATAGTCTGCATGTAAGTCTGCTAAACATTTACCACTGTCGATATATTCTCGGCTAGAATCTTTCCTGATACAATGGCTTTCAATCCGTGGAATCGAATTTATGTGATCTCTGACTGCTTGCTTAATCGATTCATCGACTTTTTTATGATTTCCATGTTTACCTCTCTTTTCTATGTCAATAAAACCTAGATCTCTTTTCTGAAAAACTGTTCTTATAACGCGATCATTTACATCTAACGTATTCATAAAAAACTTCTTACAAACCCGTATCTTTTCATTGTCAACGTCAAAATCGTCCGAAAAACGGAATGCGGGCACTATAGCTTTGGTAGAGGAGTTAATAAAGTTTCTTTGAAGGGTAATATCTCCTAATCCCCAATATTTAGCAAAAATCTTCTTCCTGCAGTCCTCGTCAATTTTAGTAGAACATTCCATTTTGCATTTATCGCCACAAGGTGGTTTCAAAGAACGTGCAGGTATAATTTTCTTGGTTTTAGATCTGGAAATGTAACATTTGCCAGTATTTCGTAATTTTTTCGCTTTATTTCACTCTTCAACTCTTGCAACGCGCTTTCTACTTTTCTTAACATTACTATTTTCTTCTATTTCGTTCATGGAAATATTCTGTTCGACTATTTCATCTTGGTTTATTGATTCATTCTCATTTTGTACTGCTTCTTGTATTTCTTCGTTATTTGTTTCAGCAGAAGTCTGGATCGAAACTAGTTCCACTTGACCGTTAGTTGGTAATACTTGTACATTATTCGTTATCGCAGTTGACGTAGAAGTGCTCGAAGAACTGCTAGAAGAACTAGATGACCTACTGGAGGAACTAGACTTGTAGTGAGGATCTTTTACTGAATCATCGTCATCTTCCGAATACGATTCATAAGCAGCGGGTGGTGGCTCGGTATATAAAGATTTATTTTCAGGTGGATTGTAACTGCAATGGGCAATAGGCTCAGCTTCTTTCCAAGCTTCAAAAGTTGTAACATTATCTGAATTTTCTGAAATAAAACAAATTCATAAACTAAGCAATAATAATAACTTTCAAATTAAAGTTAACATTAAAAGTTTATATATAACTTACTGAAACATTCTTTGGTATTATCATCCTTAGGAATTATATATTATTTTGTACTATCTCCTCGGGATCTTCTGTAAAAAAAATAAAAAAATAAACTCACCATTAACATACTTATTAGAACAATTGTTACCACCTACATAACATATTAATTATTAATTAAGTCGTGCAGCTAGTTAAATTTACCTTTGTTCAGATTGCGGTCACAATTTTCTTTATTTTCATCACTTTCAGAATTTAAAAGTTGTAGTAACTTTTTTGCCCCTGCTATCCTTAAATCTGTCACACATTTTTATTCTGAAATAAATAAATACAAGTTTAATATGAACAGAACATCAACATTTCCGTAAGTATTGATGTTAATGTAGGTAAATTATACAATAAAGTTATGTAGCACTACAGTAAAGAGTAATACTAAAATCAGTTCAAAACGGCCATAACATATTGATGTGACAAAATTGTAGTACCCATTAGTTCAAAGTAGAATAAAAAAATGTAAAAAACGGTCATAACCTATTCAAGGCTACTTTTATAAACATTCGGTAGGTAACTAAATTTTGCAAAACAATTATAAAAAAGGTGCCACAAAACAAAATACAACTGTTTTTTACCCAGTTAAAACGTAAAAATATAATACAATGTTGAGTGAAATAGTATCATAACCTATGTTATGACACTTTTTTAAAGTGAAAAATGACATGTTTTCAAATTACGATTGAAAAAAACAGTACTATATTGTGATACTGCTTTTTTACCCAGTTAAAACGTAAAAATATAATACAATGTTGAGTGAAATAGTATCATAACCTATGTTATGACACTTTTTTAGAGTGAAAAATGAAGTGTTTTCAAATTACGATCGAAAAAAACAGTACTATATTGTGATACTGCAGTTTTCACTCTTAAATTTACAAGTATTGTGAAAAAACTTACCCAAAATATGGTCACAAGATAGCTTATGGCGATTTTCAAGAGCACTGACACACGTTCACACGACACAAGCTCCGATACGTCACTATTGTTGAGGCGGGAGCGCGCAATATCGCTCCGTAAAAAACCGTCACTTACGCCACCAAGTTAGTTTTTTTTGTACTACAATTGTGGCGGTTTCATTGATCGATAGAGAATGAAAAACTTAATAAAACTGTATTTAAATCTGTGTTTCTACTTTTTCTAATGTTACGACAGTGTTTTTTAGAGGAAAGTCGATATATATATATATATATATATATATATATATATAATATATATATATATATATATATATATATTTAAGAATAGTTTTATTTAATAATATTATGATAGTTTCTTCTCAGCTGATATTGTATTATACTTTTGATATGTATTATATCCTATAATTAAAAAACTAAATCCAAAAAAGAAGAAAAGACTTCAAGATACTGTAAGCTAGTTCTGGGAAGATCAGAGAAAAAAATTATATTAAAAAGCGGAAGTTAGCCTGGGCTAACTGCGACATCGGTACGTCAAACACCACAGTCTCTCCATGACCATTGGCGTTGTAAAGCACCCGAAAAGATAAAATTAATAGCGATAAAATTCATAAAATTAGTTTAATTCAATATCAGGTATTCCTGTAAATATAAGAAATCGTTATAAAACTATTATTATAGTGTAAAACAGTTTCACTGAAACTAAGAATTGGCATAAATCATCATCATCATCATCATCATCATCATCATCATCATCATCATCATCATCCGGACAGTCCATCTCAAATCTTATGCTGAACATAGGGGAGACCCCAAGCAGAGCCACAAACCACGATCCTGAGCCACCTGCAGCCATCGACTTCCCGCATATCTTACCAGGTCGTTACTCCATCTAGTAGGGAACGCAATACACTTCGCTTACCGGTACGAGGTTACCACTTCAGAACCTTTTATCTCCACCGGTTGTCGGTTCATTAAGCTATTTTTTTATAGAAGAGGGGGTTAACGAGCATGCGGCTTACCTGATGTTTAGTGACTATCGCCGCCAATGAACAACTACAAAACCAGTGGCAATTCCTCTCAGGTGCGATGCCGGCCTTTACGAAAGGAGTAAGCTCTTTTCTTGGAGAATCCTAACTCGAATCAGTCCAAGAAAATTGCCAGTGGTAAACGATTCCTTAAAGGGGCTGTGCAATGAAGTGGGTGGTGCTCATTTCTAAACTTATCACGCGGAGAAACCCTGAGCATAGCCCTCTCCGTAGCTCGCAAAGCCACCTTGAGCTTGCTTATATGACCAGCAGTGAAAGATCATGTCTCAGATCCATATTTCATCACTGGCACCACAAACTGGTTGATGCTGTTTTCAAATTTTGAGGTATACCTGAATATTTGTCGTAATCTTTCGAACGCTGCCCAGACGATTTGAAACCGGCGATTGACCTCAAGTTAGATTTACCTAGACAGACTATTTGCCCTAGGTAAACATAATCGTCGACAATTTCAAGCGTAGTGCTCCTAACCGGCATAGGTGTGACATGGATGTTATACATGACCTTTATTTTGTCCATGTTAAGACCTATCCGTCAAAAATAACAAGAAGATCTTTGGTTTGGTTAATTTAAATCGATACTCAATTTGCCGAAGGTAAAGAAGTATGTACCTACCTATGTGGTCTATGGTACTAAGACCTTTTCATAAGCCGACTTATTTAGGAGACAGGAAATCGTCGAGTCTGCGTGTGCGACGGTCCTTAAGAGGATATAGTAAGTCAGCTCAAATTCTAATTTCGCCCCCACTTCCCCCGCGCGTCGTATGCTATGTACCGACATGTTTGTAATCACTAATACTGTAAGTAGATAGGTCGTTAGACACTTATTTCATTAGGTTTATCATATTTATGCCTGTTTCTTAACGCCAACCTAGTCGCTTCTTATTTTTATTACGGTTATTTCCCATTTTAATTTCACGTCGTCCTGTTACGTAATGTGTATTCTGATCGCAAGCGACACAACCTCCCCCCTTCAAAGGCCGAAGCGAAACTGATCGGGCGGCAGGAATCAAGCTTCAAGAAGCCGATAGTTTAGGTAATTTCTTTTTACAGTGAAAATAATGGTATTTAAAAAAAAGTAAATAACATAAGCAACGCTTTATAGTTCAGTTAGTATGCAAAGTTTCATGATCTTATTTAAAGTATTTTATGAATAACAGCGGTTTATTGTTTATTTTGGAAGTAACTTTGGATTTTTTTTATCGAGAATATTTTACGGAATCGTGTTTTCGTCTAACATAGTCCTTAACATTAATCCTCAACTTTACCATATATTTATTTCAAAATTAATGCTGCAATATTTTCGGCATAAGGGAGAATCTTGCTAAGCCATTTGAGGTCTTCGTAAGGGGAAATATACCCTTACGAAGACGCGGCCGAGAAGGAAAATCGGTCTGTATTTCTTCAAAAAAACTTCGTCGCTTTTCTTGAAGAACAAGACCACAGTACTTTGAATTTAAATGATGATATTAACTAAATATTGAAAACAAGTATATAAGTACCAATTTTTAAATAACAATTTCTTGAAGCATTTGAAATAACTTTTATGGCAGTTCTTGAAATTATTGATACAAGAGTTAGTTTAATGTTACGTTACAATGAAATTTACAACTTAATGTTTATATGTCTAGTTGGTTTAGTTGTCAGGACATTGAATAAGCTGCATAATACCTCTAGCATTGTTTCCCTGATGAGTTTGGGTGACAACATCCCAACTTCGCGCTACGATGCGAGTATATTGTTTACAACTTTCAAGTCCACATTGTTTCCCCGAGTTTAGTTACGAGAATAAGTACTAATACGAACTTACATATTAAATATCGTAGCCCGCTAGTTTACACCAACCGATTTATTCGGCGGTTAGTTATTTATTCAAACAGCAGCATTTGATTGAATGCCTAAACAAAGTTTTTTTTATAGAAAAAGGGTGACAAACGAGCGCACAGTCTGATGGTACCTCGATTAGGAATCAAAATACAGATGCGTCGTCACCCCTGAGGACTAAGATGGAATGCCTCGTTTTCAGTAACAAAGGGTCTCTGGTAGAGATGGGCTGAATATTTTTTATAGGATAAGGGTGACAAACGAGCACACAGTCCACCTGATGGTAAGTGGATGCTGTGGCTAATGGACATCTACATTTAACCTCGATTAAGAATCAAAATGCAGATGCGTTTTCACCCTTGAGGACTAAGATGGAATGTCTCGATTCCAGTAAAACGGGTCTCCGGTTCTCTACACTCACCATACGAAACACAGCAGCATTGAGCTATTACGCTGCTATTCGTTTCATATTCGGTATTCGGTATATTCGGCAGCTTTACTGAATATTCGTATTCGGCCGAATATTCGATTAAATCACCGAACATTCGTTAAAGTGGTACTCCAAGTGTCCACTGTATTGAAATGTACGAATTGAATAATGCCATGTCTTTCATAATTTTCCTGTTAAAAGTATATTTTATTTATGGGTTAAATATGTTTGCGTAATGTTTTTGAAGCACTGTAGGTGTAGATTCATTTCCAACTATAGCAAATAGAAAGTTTGATAAAAAATTTTTGGAATCAAACAAAGAAACTTATTTTGGTCGTCAGTTTCTCTAAAATAAGTCCAAATAGGATCCAAATAGTATATATCTCCTGCCACTCATTTTTATCAAATAATTATCTATTTTCACTAAGAATAACAAACACTACGAAATACTTTTTTTCTCACAAATATAGTCAAAAACTAAGCATGTGCCGGCAATTTGCTCAGTACTAGATGATGCAATAACATGTCAGGTGTGGCGGGGGAACGAGGGCCAGGATCCGACGCTAATCCCGCGCGCTTTACGGTAACAAGCTTCGACATAAAATGGTTAGGTGCCGAGGTAATCCTGCCGACTAATGTTCGGCCGAATATTCGGTTCGCTAAAAGTTTTACCGAACATTCGGCCGAATATTCGTATTCGGTGAAATCCATATTCCGCCCATCTGTCTCTGGTTCTATACACTCACCATACGAAACACAACAGCTTATATCCCCCGGTTGAACCTGACCCAATCATTATAACTACCCTTCGTGATACAACTAATATAGCTGCAGCGTGGTTTTACCACGTAAAAATATTG